TTCGATTTTTACAGTGATATTAGTAATATCAAATTCCCAACCCGGGCCAGTTTGCTAGAATGAAAGTATGATTTAGATAACAAAACACAGTAAAGTTTTTAAAAATTCAAAGATTTGCCATATCTGACAAACACAATATTTCCCTGAACAGAAACAGTGCAGATCTGGGACACCAAGTTCTGGACGCTGCAGGCTGACAGGTCACTTCAGGATGTACCAGGGACAGGTGTGGAAAAGGTTAGTCTCTATCAGACTAACTACGCAGGCTATATATAGGAGAATATTTGCTGGGGGAGTTTGACCGCCTTGGGGTTTGACTGGACGGAAAGAACCAACCTTCCCCGGACTGACTCCCCTGGCCAATTGTGCCCTTCTTTTTGCTGAATCCTACAATCTGTATTCCTGTAGAAAGGCCTGGTGGAGGCTAATAAAAAAAAAGGAGTATGTCAGCAGAATGTACTACACCCGCACGAAAATCCTGTTGTATATAGCATTTGACAGAACATCACATTTAAGGTAGTAGATGTATTTGTGTATTTAAGGATACTGATAACATCCAGCCTAAAATTTCAAAATGTCTTCAACTTAGTCCGTATATTTTGATAATGCTTACAATAGTCAGGATATACACTAAAGCTCTGGAAATGTTGTTGTTTATTGTTGTTTGATGTTTCCAGCTGTACAGATACGGTGACTACATGATCGTTGCCAGACAGACATCGGTAGCTGCTCTCTCCTTCTCCATCCAGCCCACATCCCTGGCTGCGGTCATGGGAAAACAGTGAGTTTGGTTTTGTGTCACAGTCCTATGTTGGTGATGGTTAGACATACAGGTAAAAGCGGGGTCGTGTGGAGCAACAGCAGAGTGCTCGACTTGGAACCAAGAGGTCCCGGGTTCGAGTCCTGATGACATGCCACCAATCTTGTGCCCTTGGGAAAGGCACTTTACACGACTTTCCCCACTTAAACTCAAGTGAAAAAGAGTATTGTCATGTCCTGTATTTGTTTCTATTCGTGGGACACAACACCAGCAACAGCTGCCTGTGTCCTACATGTGTTAGTATTGTTAAAACAAAATTGTTAAAACCCTGCCCCCTTGTGATCCGTTTCAGAACTGCAGAGGCTGTTACACTGGTGCCTCAGGACTGGGGAGGGCCAGCAAAGGTGAGGAGTCATTCATTAAATGATTCTTATTTATCACCCTCTGATGTTTTACCTAAGTCTGAATTTGTTCTTTAGAGTTTACTGATTGTCCTAACACTTTGACGCGTTTGCCCCTCCCATGATCAGAAGAGAAGACATCTATCGACAGAGTCGTCTGCTCTGCTGCAGAAGTTACTGGATCCTCAACAGGTAAGTGACTGTCTACAGCTTTAGTACAGCTCATACATGACACATGTACAAATATATACGCTGCAGTACCATCGCAGTGTACATGTACTTGATTTTATCGATGGCATCTGTGTGTGATTATTTATTTCCCCAGAAAATCTCAAGTAAATATTGTGGTGCCTTTTGGAAATAGAAATTATTGCATTTAACACTTTCCGTTATAGTTTTCTTTTCCTGTCTTCTGCTTATGTCAACTGCTAATTGCAAAAATACCTGCACAGCTCAAATTTTACCTGCATATATAGTCTGATGGACTTTAATCCCTGCAATTCTAAATGACTGTATCAAAGGAAGAGCAACTAAGCAGTTAAAAACATGATCCATTCTCCTCCAGACCAGAGACCTCCCCAGCTTTGAGCAGGTTTTCTCCCAGCTGAAGACTGACAGAGAGACACTGAGTTCCCCCGCGGCGGTCTGCCAGCTAACACAGAGGGTCGTCACTGAGGAAAGGTTCTGGGCAAGAAGCACACTAGCAGAACTGGTGGAGACTGGGCTGCTGTCTGGCAGGTAGGGGGTTGTTTGTTTGTTTACCTGTTTATCCCCAATCTCCATGGCAAAAGGCCAGACTAAAGTTTGGCAGTCGTGCTGGCGAGCTGCTATCTGGAACGTAAGGGCTTGTTGGTTTGGACATATCGGTGGAATGTTACATAATACAAAGTAGATCAAGAAAATTTTTGTACTAGAGGAATTCTCCATGAAAGATGAAATGAAATGAAGTGTGACCTCTGTACATAAAGGTTTTTCTCAGACTCATTCTCTGATTCAATAGAATGGTTGTATCCTAAACATCTGAAGAATCAGAGGACTGATCAAAAGCTTGCATGTTGGACTTTACTTGTGTAACAATATAATAGAATTAGCATATACATGTACATGTAATACCTCTGATGATGATTGTTGTGTTGTTCCTTTTTTTGGTTCACAGCTCCAGCCCAGGTCTGTTTGAGAGAGTGGAGAAGGAGAATGACGTGGCACTTTGGCGCTCGTGTCTCCTGCATGTGAAGGACATCCCAGAAGCCTCCCTGGTCGCTCGTGTGCAGTATCTCTTAGGGTACGTCCTCTATTTCTTCTAACTCTTGTTCTTCGATCTCTGGAACTATTCTTGACTTGAATTCATTATCTCCAAATCTACACGTAGTTGTGCTTATTCACAAAATAACTTTAAACATTCTTTCAGGTGATAGCTGTTTTGATATACAGCATAAAATCAAATTATTTGCTCTAGATTTTGGTCTTGTCTCAAGCTCAAGGAGCTCCAAGTAGCATCATGCAAATATGGTGCAAAAGGGCTACCGAGTACATGTAACTTGGAGAAGGTTGAACTCAAGTTACATTAGACAAGTCAAGAGTTAAATGTTAATATTTATTTATTTATTGATCTTGGGAACATGTTGGTACTGTCTCCCTTGAGTGAAAAGAGCTGATTTCCAAGGGAACCAAATAAATGATAAACAAAATGCATGTATAAACTTAAATATATCTGAAGTATCACTCCAATCACTAAACAATAGCAAGTCAAAATCATAAAAACAGTGAAAAAACAGAAGTCAGAGTTCCAGCTAAGTAGATGAAGTTGTCTCGAGTCCAAGGAGCTCAAAGTTCAAGTTCATCAAGGCCTAAAACTGGCCGATTTTCCGCCCGGGCGAACTTGCTAATCTTGTTTCCGCCAGTGACAAGAAAACCACAAAGTTTCCATCAGGAAACTCCTCTGAGCTGCAGATCATTTTCACAGTCTGTTAACTGGAACAGTCGGTAGGATTGGGCGGGCAGGGCTTGAAATACTACAGTCTGCAAACCTGTATCATAGAGTGGAACTCATTGCCACCAAGCACAGTTGGGGCATGGTCACTAGAAAGCTTTAAACAACAAAGGCCGGCTGAGTGTAACAAGTATGATATAGCTAGCTGCTGCCGGTAATGTGCCTGTAAAGCTGGTGTGTTGTGCCAAAGGGCGGTTGTACCACCTACATGTTGTATACTGATACAAATACAGATACCAGTCATGAATTTCTTTGATTTTGCGAGCAATCCTGTACAATGTTTAGCTGCACTACAGTTTCTTTACCTTTCAGCAGGTGGTATTTCAAGCCTTGGTGGGCAAAAGAAAGTGATGTACTCATGACGTGCTGCACCCAACAAGCTGTTATGCTCTGAGCCAATGCAATCTATACACACACCCCACTGGGGGAACACTACAAACTAATGCCAAGACTGAATTTCTCCTCCCTTGCTTGAGCGTTGTGGTAAAAATTGATTCACTGGATCGGACTACTTACTTGTGCTGGCTGGCGTTGAGTTTTGATGACCCAGTCGGTAATAACAGCTTCATTGATTTCCTGTTGAAACGCACTCAAACGGTTTTTATGACACGTGTGGACAACCTGTTTCACGGATTACGATTCCACCTAGAAATGGCTAACGGTTTGGGAACTTGCCCTTTTTCCAAACTTGGGGAAATGCTTGGCCATAAAATGCAACCTGATTAATGGGTTCAAGGTGTTTGTTAGAGCCAAATGACTAAAAAAGTACTACATTGTAGAATCTTAAAGTTGCCTTCTTCCCAGGCAAATGGTTATTCATTGATTTTTGATATATTGATTTTATATGTTGTTTTTTCTAGCAATTCCACATTCAAGATGTAATTTATAATAATATTATGAATTTCTTTGATTTTTGTGTGTAACATGTGGTATTGCCTTTGACTGTACCAAGCAAAGAAAAACTGATTCCTGTGTATACATAAACCTTTAACAAATGTCATAAAAATGGTGTAGATTCCAAGGAATTCAGGTATAACAGTTTGAAATAAAAGCTATCATATTATGACAATGTACTGTACAAAATGTATATTATATATATAGGTCAAAAGTTTTTTTTAATTCATCACCAAAAGTCAGTACTAAAAGTCAAGGAAGCTATATATACAAATGTACAAAGTCGTTGCGTAGCAAAGACTGAGGAGAATAGAAGGGACAGACATCAAAGCATAAGCATGTGAGAAACATTTTACTAATTGTGTATTACCAAGAAGAAATTCACTACTAGTATATCCAAAAGCATTTCAACTGGAAGGGACAAGGAAGACATGTTGGCCTCCTCCACAGATATCGGCCCATTTAATGGAGTTATTGGACCTGGAGCTTCGAATGCCTCCTGTGACAAATAACACCAGACGTGGAAGAGGGCGTCTTCCTTAATGTTTATTGCGATATTGACTCGACGGTGGGGAGACGGTTAAAGGCTGTTCACTCAGTCTTCATCCTAACTGTCGATGTTGGGTTGCTTCACGTGGTCGTAAGCATTGGTTTGTCAAGTCCCTTAAGAAAACACTTTGAGTAAAGTCAAAAGCTTCTTGTTTGTTTGTTTGTTTTACTAGGATCTCCATTAGTGTTACAATTACTAGTAATTCTACACTATTCTTTCTGCAGTCAGCTACGAATACAATACAGTCAAATGAAATTAAATAATAGAACAAAACCCTTACAGTTAATCAGTAGTAGACAAAAGATAAACAAAATGATATAAACTTAGAAGCTTTTATTGTACATACAGCTAGGTCATAACTGTATGTATAATATTATGTATATGTATCATTCTTCATTCTACATATTTTACAAAATGAAACAGTTACCACTGTGACAATATTACGATGCTACGTGTATGACTTGCATTTACCAATATATGCATTCTGTTTCAAAATTCCTGCAAACCTGCAGTTTTGATTATGCCCACTAGGGGGCAGCACTTGTACATGATTATCCCAGCCTAACCTTGACACTGTAGCAGACATGTTGCCCCATGCAGTGTGCTGAGAATAGTACAAAATTTTACTAATGTTACTGTCAGATACGGATGTAGGTAATGAATGGGAGACCTGCAACCTTCTGCATACTGATGGCGCCAAACCAAATTTAGCAGCCAGATGCTCCCCTGGTTACAAAGAAAGATTACAGATGAGAATCCTGTATCTCTGAGGGAAGGATGACAAATTTGGCATGCGCTTTGGGGTCACCAGCTTCACTGTTTCATCTGTAGAATCTAGTTTGTACATATTTTACTTGTTGACGTATTGCATAGTGCATGTACATTGTACATGTATGTATCCAGGGCTTGCCAACAAGCTTGAAGCTTATAATGTAACAGTGTTAGACCGCAAAGAAAAGTTATGATCATTTCGATTTTGATTAGAAGATTATTTTATTGGACTCTGGATTGCACCTGAATTGGAATTGGAACTGTCAATATTTCATCTATCCGTGGTCTAATATCATTCAATCGTTGGAGCACCACAGATGATCTGACAAGTTGAACCAGTTTTCTCCACACTTCTTGCTTTTCTGTTCTTCTTATATTTCACTTAGTGTCGTGCTGGTCCATTCTCTGAAACTATCCTCCCATTTTTTTCCTGTTGCCTGCCCCTCTTCCTTTTTCCCTGGACTGTTTCTTGCATGATGATGGTTTGGGCTAGTGCCGATGACCGTGACACTAAGTCTAATTATAATGTATCTACAAGTGATTGAAATCACTTTTGAATGATTAAGACCCCATGGAGTCAAGTTTGTTATTATAACTTATAAGAAAGCCTTATGCCTTAGACCAGCTATATGTACTACCAGGTAGTTACAATGTACATGTAAGACAGTCACTACAAATCTTGTTATGATGAAAGGTTGTTACAGTGGTTCAGTAATACAAAATCCGACACAGTTTTGTTACCAGTTGTGCTGTACAATGTTGTTCCTGTATCTCTGCAGGTTAGACGACTCCCTGCTGGAGCCTGCATCAGCTGACGTTCCCATGGAAACAGCGGAACAGGACATCCCAACATGCCCTCTGTCAGCTGCCAAAGCTGCCCTTCTGTATCCTTCATGCAATAATGGTTTCAGGGCCTGAAATACTTTTTTTTCTGTCAGGTGTTAACCCTTGTCTGCTAACATTTTTACTCAATATTTTCAAATAATTTGATGTCTTAATCAGGTCATAGATCCTTGACTTTTTTTGCCCTGCAGTGGTGTAGTTACTTCTGCATTCGTTGCATTTCGCTGCGATGTGATGTGTTGCACGAGAAATACCCCCAAGTTGTACATATACAGGGCGCTATATAGATGATATTAATTGTGCAACCGATATAATGTATGTGGGCCCCCGCAGGACAAGGGTTAAGAAGATAGTGAATGATGTTGGTTTGAAAAGGTGACCTTGAACATTTTGGCACGTGAACAAAAAAGTAGACTTGTCTACAATCATATATACTTTCATTTATTCTCCATTCCTTTTTCATAGGCAGAAGTCTTTTTTTTCATTTTGCACATGTACTGGCGTCAAATTAGGTGTTTTTAGAGGACGTCACCCGTATAATGTAAAGTTACTGACCTGTGCTTCTCCCATTTTCTCACTTGGGTGTACAGTGTACTGTCTAGTGACCACCTCTGTACTGTGGCCACTATTTGATGGTCTCCTACTAGTAGATAATTTTCCCCATTGACCCAAGCATTAGGGATCCTGTCTATGGAGGACCATGTCTATTGTGAATGCTCCCTTGAGTGGTCACTATAGTCAGGCATGACTGTACACTATTCTCCTAATTTTCACTGACAGCATCACATGTACATAATATTATATACATGTACCTCTGTAGGGAAAAGAGTCTGCACATACTGTATCTCTGTAGGGAAGAGTCTTACTAAGTTAAATATATTACATGTAGGGGCAGACCATTGCTTTTAGGATGTCTAAATAATTTGTACCAGATGTTTATTATAATCATTCTTTTAGTGTAACACACCAGCTTTGTAAGCACGTGTCGCAGTGACAGCCCAGGCTTTGATAATTCCTAGAACCTATATTTGACATATTCATAAAAAAGGCATCAGATATATCGATGCTGGTTAAGACCATTGATAATAATTATTGTACTCTTTACAACAATCCAATATAACATAATAATGGTGTCTCTCTGGAATAGAAGATTCAGTAATTCCTAATACTTTTAGGACTGTTGCTGTTAGTTTCTCTATCAGCAACCTTCCATGCAAGATAAAATAAGAAGTTTCAGTGACTCTCCCCATTATTGTGATCATGATCGTGACATTTGAAGGCATTCTGTACCTGTGTATCCATTATAACCACTCTTTGGCATAACACACCAGCTTCTCAGGCACACAGTGCGTCGGTAGCTGGCCTTGGTATCTGTATCAGTATCTGGTTGCTAATGCTTGATATACAGATTTGATTTGATTTGGGTCTTCCCAATGCGAGTGTCTTCCCTGATTCAGGTAACACAGCAGTTTTGAATTCTGCATCTGTATAGCCGGTTGTATAACCTCCCTTCGGCGCAACACACCAGCTTCTGTATCTGTATACTATTAGACGGTATAACCACCCCTTGACTTCACACACCTTCTTTTCAGGCACGCGGTGCATTGGCAGCTGGCTTTGGTATCTGATTCTGTATCTTGTTGCTAATGCTTGATATACGGAATTGATTTGATTTGGGTCTTCCCAATGCGTCATCCCTGATTTAGGTAACACAGCAGTTTCTGCATCTGTATAGCCGGTATAACCGCCCCTCAGCAACACACATGTACACCAAGTTTGCAGGCACACAGTGCGTCGGCAGCTGGCTTTGGTATCTGTATCTGTATCTGGTTGCTAATGCTTGATATTCAGAATTGATTTGATTTGGGTCTTCCCAATGCGAGTGTCTCTCCTGATTTAGGTCCCAGTAAATGTCATTAGAGACTGGCATCCATTAGGTCTGTGTAGAGGATCAATACTGAGTTTGTTTTACCAGTCGATATCTCGCACCTTCCGGTAAGTTTGAGCACTCATTTGTCAGTTTCTGTTCATGTCAACATGCGGGGAATTTGGGTCATGCAGGGCTGGAAATACTGGGTGCATATTGGAGCTGTGCACTGAGTTATTGTCTGTGGGTGTTGGTGAATTTCAATCTATTAGCAGTAAATGTGTACAATCGTGATATTTATTTTACCAGGCAGTGACAACTTTTCATACCAGTATATTCAATGCTACTGTCACCTAATAGTATCTTGAAAGTTCATCTGTGTTGACTCATTATGGGCCATAATTAACTGTAATTTCCAACGCAAAAAATTGGACTCACCTAAATTCATCTAAAAAATAGTATTTATTCATTAATCAAGATTTACCACATTTGTGGAAGGATTGACATAGCAGGTGACTATCACCTCTTCAAGATGTCAAACCTGAGACCAGACTGTATTATGTTTGAACCACTCACACCAGGAAGGAGCCCTGCTCTTTTTGATGAGTGTGGTGGGAACCTTAAATTATATTTGCTTCATACAATTCAAAAATTCTCATTCACAATTTGCAAAGATATGTCAGCTGATGAATCTATAACATGATTGACGAATTTTGTGAACCCAAAATATGTATTGAATTATAATTTACAAACCATTTATCTTCAGCTGGTAACTAGAAACTATTATGACAGAGTCTGTGTCTGACACCACATTGATTTATCACACCTTATTACCTCCCTTCACTGCACTCTAGTCAGAATTCTGTCATATACAAATGTAGGCCTCGTAATGCCCACGTACTGTATACAGCCCTACATAAATTCTGATGACACTCCTACATACATGTATATCCGTAAATAATTTCATCAGGTTAGTGAATGATTGGATTCTATAAAGTTCTTTTATTCAGATTCAGAACCATTATATTTTGTTTAGCACAAGCCGATATTTTGATGACCATCTGTCATCTTCATCAGGGCTATACTGACTGGTTCACTGTGCATTGAAGCTAGGTGTTCTTTTACACAACTAATATTGTCTCTTCCCTTGCCTATGTTTCAGTGTCTATCAGACAACTTCCTCAGAGCTTCTGACTGGAGTTCTGCTTGAATAGTTTGGTTGTGTGAAAGAAAACCTCTAATAAAGTGTATCGTATACTCAGTACCAACTTGATGAAACTATTTTTGGTGGTTCATATATAGTGCATAAGTGTTGCATCTGACACCACATAACTCTATGTTTTACATGTTGGACATCTCTTACTGCTCCACCTGATGCCACCGTGTTTATCACACATGATTACCTTGCACTTTTTCATCATTGCATCCTTAAAATTTCATCATATAAGTCCTATAATACCTACATTACATGTATATTAGTTGTGATATATAGCCCTATATAAACTGGGAATCCTGCATTCATATGGCTCATGATAAAGTTGTTAAAAAAAGATTATCATGCATTGTGCCATGGCAACCAGGAAGAATTTATGGCAGGACTTAGTGACAAAACCAGGTGCTGTCTGCTGAAAATAGCATTGCCAGCATTTCTGGATTCTCTGATTTTTTGAAAATTTTCAAATTTGGGATATACATAATTTTGCAACATCATTCATTGGTCAAACCTAATTTAGGAAATCATTGTTGTCATTTACATGTACCAATTAATAATAATCTTTCTCTATCTTGCATTTTATGGCTATTAAGGAGCTTGTAGCATGATAATATATGACATTGTATGTCACAATGATTGAAGATTTTTACAAAGCTTCTACCATTGAGACAACACTTTGTCCAATGGCAAGAGAAAATTTTTAAAAGTTGAATTCTCAAATTGAAATGGAGCATGATTATGAAAACACTTTGAGTAACTGTTTTTTGGCATTTATGAAAACACTTTATCAATGCCGTCTCCTTTACTTAAGGTATTTGGCAGTCTTACATGTGGCAGCCCTGATATCACACACCTATCTGTCTGACAAAGCTGTGGACTGATCAGCATGCACAGTTATGGATTGTTATGCTACACTGATTGAATTTGTTGGTTCTCAGATTTTTTTCAGGAAAAATATGAAGCGACAGGGCAAAAAAAAAAACAGGTCTAGGCATCCTATATTATAGTCCCAAATGCTTTGAAAGGAGCCATGAAGTCAACACAAAAGGCTGAGTTAAAATCTAAACAATGAATTATGAACTTTTAATCAAATTACTGCAGCATTGATAGATGGAAAAACTGTAACAACTATAGGAAGAAAAGGACTTTCCTCAACTGATGGGGAAAAAATATAAGCATTTTTGAGCTGATTCAGAACCAGAATCTTTTTTTTTGTTTGCAAATCATAAAAAAATGAAGAGGTGAATCCGAGAACCAACAAATTAAGTTGGTGTGCCTTATGTATGTTATCACCGAGAGATCTAACCACATATCTCATATCCGACCGTTCAAACAACAAAGTTCTCTCTCCTAGAGCTTTCGACCAGTCACTCTGGTCTTCCTCAGTAGACTGACCCAGTGAGGCTTGTCACGTGACTTCTTTGACACCCTCAGTGACGGCCTCACTGGGTCAGTCTACTGAGGAAGACCAGAGTGACTGGTCGAAAGCTCTAGGTGAGAGATCTTTATTAATCAATGGGCACACTGATGTCATCCATAAAAATTACTTACTGTGGCCTTATCACCGAGAGATCTAACCACATATCTCATATCCGGCCGTTCAAACGAGCGCCCTCCTAATCTTCGTTTTCGCGGTGATGGATTGTCGGCGATGGCGGCAATAGATCTGCCGATTGATCCGGAGTTTAGTCCCAACACCTGTAAAATGCGCAAGTAGTTTTCGGATCAATATTTGCAGAATCAGGCGTTTGTATCAGATCTACGCTCGCGTGCGATGATTGCTTTTCTCGGCTCATTTCGGGGGAACCATTCGTCAGCGGGAGAGTTGCAGGGCTCGTTGCTGGGGCCTTGGAAAAAAATGTAATGTTTCTTATCATCCCAACTACTAAGTATCTAATACCAGCCCAGAAGTGAACAAGAAATAGCCATGCCTTCAAGTACCAGAGTTATCAACCAAGGATTGAGGTGTTCAAGAATTCATTCTTTCCTAGCAGAGTGGAACTCGCTGTCACCAAGTACACTATGGGCATTGTCATTAGATAGCTTTAAACAGTGCCTAGAGTTAGATGTTCAAGGGTTAGGTGTAACAAGTCGATCGTTGTAATGTAGCCAGCTGCCACCGCGCCGCGTGCCTGTCAAGCTGGCGTGTTACGGTGAAAGGCGGTTATGTTTATACAGTTATGTTTCCAGTTTCCCAACCGACCCTTGAAAAACCTGCCAACCCTAGACTTTGGAGACAAAACTTCACTTAGTCTAGCTGCACCTCATAGAGGAACAATGAAGACAAAGAAGAAGTATAAGTTGGACCCATATATAGATATCACTGAAGTCTAGAAAAAGGAAAAAGATAATCCCTACCTACCGACCCTACATTTTTAGGACTGAAACAGGAAACACAACATTTTTTTTCTAGGCCTAGGTGTTGCGTCGCAGTGCAGATTACTCGAGAGCTAACTTTTCCATCAGCTCTCATAACAGGTTTACACATCGGGGCACTGGCGGAAAACTGTCAGGCGGTTTCAAAACAGTTCTGCGGTTTGTAGATTAAGGTTAGACATCCAGGTAATAAGATGCACAAGAAAACAGTTACTCAAGCAACTGGATAGGTAGCAGCCACTACTTTTTGTCAGTTTCTGCTCAAGAATTGTAAGTGTCACATGGATTCTGCACAAGAAATTTACTGCAGCCAATTTCGGTTGGCAGTTTCAAAACAGTTGTGCCATTGTCGAAATATTGACAGTTGCACAAATGACCAATTTTCTTTGTGGTCTAAGACTATTACATACTTGTAGCTTCAAGCTCATTGGTAAGTCTTGGTTATGCACTAGGCAATACGTCAACGAGTAAAATATGTACAAACTAGATTCTACAGATGAAACAGTGGAGCTGGTGACCCCAAAGCGCATGCCAAATTTGTCATCCTTCCCTCAGAGATACAGGATTCTCATCTGTAATCTTTCTTTGTAACCAGGGGAGCATCTAGCTGCTAAATTTGGTTTGGTGCCATCAGTATCTACTGGGGCAGTTTCAAAACAGTTGTGTGGTTCGTCGATGAAGGTTAGACATCCAGGTAATGAGATGCACAAGGAAACAGTAAGCAACAGGATAGATTTTGAAAACTGTCTGTTCCGGGATAATTTTGCTCGAGCCCTGCAAACATTTTGTACATGTGTGACCGTGCAGACACTGTAGTGTGTACTTGAGCTGACATTAAGTTATTCTGGCTCTGTCATTTTGACAAAACTGCAATCATTCTTGAAAAGAAATTTGCTGCCACAATTTCCAATTCTCAAAAAAAAATTTGCTTCAGCCCCAAACATGTACATGTACCTGCTGTTACAGTAGTGTGTAGTGAAGCTGACATGGTTATCCTGGATCCGTTTGTCATTGTGACAGAACTGCAATAAGGGCCAAACATATTTTGTAACAAGAACCTGGTTTGCCTACATTTTTCTTCAAAAGAAATTTGCTGCCAAACTTCTATTCCAAAAAGAAATTTTACTCCAGCCTGCTGTCAATTTCCAACTCCAGGATAATTTTTGTCCCAGCCCTCCACACATGTACATGTACCTGCTGTTACAGTAGTGTGTAGTGAAGCTGACATAGTTATCCTGGATCCGTTTGTCATTGTGACAGAACTGCAATAAGAGGCGCACCCCGGAGACAGAGTTATCACGTTCTGTCACTTCCCGTTGCCACGCTGACGTGGGAACGTCTCCCGTGACAACCGAGCGCGTACACGGCTGCGTGCTCCTGTCGTATGTCATCTGCGCTGCGCTTCTCATGTGTAACGCCTGACAAAGGAAAAGATTTAGTGTTTTTTATTATGTATTTTGAACCAACCCAACGACAAATGTTTGTTTGAAACAAAAGGAAATTAATAACCAATAATACTCAACTTTTGTAATTGGGCTGGTTCAGGAACTGTATGCGAATTCTTGGCTGAATTTATTTTGGTTCTGTCCCTGGTGCTGAAGTTTAGGTATTTGGGTGATGTTGTTCCGTTCCTGAAGATGACATTTTCATCTGTGTGAGGGGAGATAAAGGGCTGACCTAGGCTTTACCTAAGCAACCTTTCATCTGAAAGATTATTTTACCCCCCCCCCCCCTTCATGCACAAGTCTTAGTTTTAGTTTACATGTGCCTTGGTCTTGCCTCTAAGAGTAACATCCGTGTCCATAATATCACCAGGGTCCATAATATCGCCACCTTGAGAAACAGTGTGCTTAAAGATATTTTTACTGCAACATAGTTTTGGTATGCACTCTTGCACACCTCAAATGTACATACCTAGGGTATGTTGCAGTAGAAATATCTTTAAGCACTCTATTTCTCAAGGTGGCGATATTATGGACCCTGGTGATATTATGGACACAGATGTTACATGTTTTTGTGTACTTTGTTGAATCTAGGTAATAAGTCTTTAAAGTAACTGTTTTCATATCATGTTTTGAAACGATTGAAGAGAAGCAGCCTTGAAAAACATTACAGATAACAGCTTGCTGTATATCCCTGTGTATTGTTGTACCCTTGACCACATGTTCCCAGAGACCAGGTCCTGTGTCGCTCCTACAGTGGACTCTTTCTACAGGACAGCCTGGCAGAGCTGCAGTTCTCACAGGTCATGGTAGGTGGAGCTGCATTACTGCCATCAATTATTGATTCATTATTAGAAATGGTTGAGTATTATTTTTTTGCATTAATATCTATTGACTTTGAACAATGAACTTAAATGAACTTTGAAATCATCAATATTATGTTGTATTTTAGGCTCAAATTTCATTTGCAAAATTGGAACTGAGCCATCCTGTTTGCATAGTTTAATCATAGAGACTCACTGGCAGTTTGATATTTCAGGCTCAACATTTAATGCAAAATATCTGTTACTGATTATGTTTGTTTCATCAAAATTTTTATCAGAGGTTTTACTATTTACTATTCAAATAAAAAAAATTGGTACTGCTCTCAAATGCTTGGCAACGAAAGAACAGCACTTGAATTTTAGAACATTATTGATTCAAGAAAGTTGAAGCTATATGTGACTCAAAGGGTCATCTTCTTTTGCTTGCTGGCACTTTGCTACAGTTCAAACTAATTGAAGCTAATTGTGGGTCCAAATGAAGTCAAATTCAATGACTTTTGGCAAACAAATAGTCGACTCAACGTTACCTTTCCCCGGTCATCATTTTTGTGGTCGTGAAGAATTGTTTCCATTGTTGCGTATTATGAGAAACATTTAGACAAATGACCACAACGTTTATTACTGGCCTGTGGTGGGCTATAAGCAGTCAGCAGCAACTCCCTGCACATTTTTATTACAGTAACTGTTAGCATCACTATCTGTGCAGCTATCTACAATGCGGGGAACACACCATTGGTTTTATACACAACTCTAACCACACCACTTTAGGGCATTGCTTTACACAGGGCCCTGGAAAATATACATTATTTTGTATATTTACATGACTTGTATTTCCTATCTGTGCTGCTATCTTCAGGGTGGGGAACACAGCAATCCACTGAATCTCAGTCAGTGGATTGCTTTACAAAGGGCCCTGGAAAATAATACACACATACATCGCTCCTATATTTACATGTACATGTATCTTATTTCCTAACTTTGCTGCTATCTACAGTGTATGGAACAGTCCATTGGTTTTGTACACATAACTGGCCAACTCTGACCACACCACTGTAGGGTATGGAGTTTTCTGGTGGTTAGCTAGCACAGTACATTAGGTACCCACCACATTTGATGTTACCACCTCATTTATTTATTCATTTCTGTTTTATTTAGCCAGGGTGGCCTGTCTCTGTCAGTCCCATGCAGTTCCATGTTCTGGTGGTGAGCTAACACAGTACATTAGCTAGCCACCACATTAGAAGAAGTGTAAAAGTGTTGCCACCTCATTTATTTATTCATTGATGTTTGATGTAGACATGGTGGCCCATCTCAGTCAGTGGCATTGCATTGCTTTACATATGGTTCTGGTGGCTAGCTATCTCAGTACATTAGCTAGCCACTGCATTTGAAGTGTACTGTATATTAAGTGTTACTACCTCATTTAGTTATTCATGTCTATTATATAGCCAGGGTGGCTTAACTGATGGTAAATCTTTTACAGTAGCAATCAGGTAGCTACACTTCATATTCAATATGCAAATGACCAAGGAAAGAGAAATATCCCAAGGTTCTTAGAAGCCATCTGGCTTTGCCTTTGTAAGTACATGTAGATGAAGGAAATATTCATTGCAACGATACCTTGTTTATAGTCATCATATGCATATACTTTTTATACAACTTGGTGGTAAGTCTTATACAAATGTAGTAGCAATCAAGAAAGTATGCTTCCTAATATTCAATATGCAAATGAGCCTCGGATGGAAATAATATCCCAAGGTTCTTAGAAGCCATCTGGCTTTGTAAATCAAGTTAAGGAAAAAATCCCTCATCTCCTGGTGATCAGTTATCTGCTGCTATCTGCAAGTTGTAAGTGCTGACAGATCTAATTAAAGGAGGAAGACATTTTCATTACCTGTAATAGCCTCCTTCAGAACAGGATCCAGTCATGTCAGTGATGGATGACGATGATTGGGGAGATTAGGAGGAAATTTCGGCGAGGAAAGCTGTTCTAGAAAGACTCATTTGCAGGGGGGGTTCTGTTGAAATTTGATTACATTTCCAGAGTTTCGGTGTTAGTCGTTGTTGAGTGCTGGTGGTGAGTTCTTGGTTGAGTTTATCCTGGCTCTGTCCTTAGTGCTGAAGTTTGAGTACCTGGGTGTTCATGAAAATGAAGCTTTTTTTCAGACATTGTGGGAGAAAGCAGTACTTGATAGCACAACATGGATGCACACTGTCGAAATGGGGGAAAAGAAGCAGCCAATGCCAGATCCCAAGCTAACAGGAACAGAAAGCACAAGTCATACTTTTGTCTCTAGGAGTTGTAAACAGTACATTTTTTACAACATCTAACGAGGATGATGGATGAGAACGATGATGGGTTCTAGAAAGACCCATTTGCAGGGGTTTTGTGTCAAAATTTGATTAAATTTGAGTGAAATTTCAGTGTTTGCTATAGTTAGTGCTTGGTTGACTTTGTCCTGGTTCTGTCCCTTGTGCTGAAATTTAAATATTTGGGTGTTGTTGTTTTGTTCTTGAACTTGAAGTTTTTCTGACATCCTTGAAGCACTTGATAGCCCAACATGGAGACACACTGTTAAAACTGAGTGCTATTATGCATTTGCTTTGCAAATGTTACCTTAAGTTTGTAATTTTCTAATGTATAGTATTTCTTGTTTTACTATACGGAAGGGCAAGTTTAATCCAAGAGGAAAGTCACAGTTTAATCCCATAACACAATAAACTTTCAATCTACTTTAAGACAGCCGAGAACCTCCGAAATAAATTAGTGTGGAAAAAGATCAGCTGCTTCTTGTGGAGTGGCTTTTCCTCTCCTAACCATCAGATCATCACAAGGGAAATGAGGCTGGGGACACACCCTTCCTCCGAGCTTCCGGGATAATCCTGGAAATGAAGCACTCCATCAGCGGAGGCTGGTCCGGATTTGAGGGGATTAAATAATCCATCAACTTCACACCTCCCGGAGATGAGGGTGATGATCACTCCTCACGTCAGGGTGGGTGTGAGACAACAATAGCAACATGATGTAACCTAATACTAGTTACCATGGTGACAGACATCTGGTTCAGGTCGATTCATTCGAGCTTATTTGTTTGGAGAAGAAGAGGAAGAAGAAACAGAGCAAAAACAATATGTTTTCTTTCTGTGAAGGAAATAAAAGTCTTTTTCCTAGAATTCACATTATATGAGTTAAGGAATAAAAGTCTATAATATCCAAGTAGCAGGAAATGTCAACTATTCTATGTACATGTACTTTCTGGCAAGAATAAGATACAATACTTACATGTAGCCTTAACCCCCTCCCTGCTGTCTAATCCCATAACAATACAAATTTGGTGCCAAACAGATTACTTGGCAGTAACTTAAAGGTAGAAGCTGAAAAATTGCTGTCACCCTGCAGAAAGAAGCAGTTCCAAGCATGTATATAACACACCCCATAAACTACAACGAAGGGTCTGATTTATGTGACAAAAGTTATCCCCTGGTTTTATTGTTTTTTATGATCAGGTTCCTAAAGGCTATTTGACACTGGGGAGTATTTCATCCACACATTCATATTTATGTCGCAATCATTTTGATCGCCGCCTTTCATCCATGTTTCATAAGACTAAAACCCGACGTGATAAAAATGATCTTGTCCTCGCGCTATGAACTTATGCTTGTATCTCATGATAAATACCTGATAAATCCATGTTTTCTGTGTTGGGCAGATTTTAAGGCCACACCAATTTAATTTGTTGGTTGTTGGATTTGCCTCTTCATTTTTTTTCAGATTTGCAAAAAAAAAAAAAAGATTCTGGTTCTGAAATAAGTCAAAAGTGCTCATATTTTGCTCCCAACAGTTGATGAAAGTCCTTTTCTTCCTAGTCTTAGCATCTATCAAATTAATACAGTGGTTTGATTAAAAGTTCAAAATTCATTGTTTAGATATTAACCCAGCCTTTTGTGTTGACTTCATAGCTCTGATTGTAGTATTTGGGGCTATGATAGGATGCCTAGATCTGTTTTAATTTTTTTGCTGTAGCTTTATATTTTTTCTAAAAAGATCCGAGAACCAATAAATTAAGATGTTGTGGCCTAATATATGATGAAACAATCCTTCACTCATGGCTGGGTAGCTGTGAATTTTTCAGAAGTTGACTTTGAAGTATGAACGTCTGGAGGGCAGTGAAGTTGATAGTATTTTTTTTTCAACAAAATTTAGTAGCTCCCTGAAGAGTGCCTGTCTGCATGGTTCATGTGTCAGCTTATGGAGTTTTCAGCTGAAGGTAAAGTATAGCATGCAGTCAATTGTGACCATGTTTGGGCAGTCACTTAGACAATTTTATTCCATCAACACAAGCATTAAGAATCGGCGGCTATCTGGTCAATAGTGACACTGTGACACCATATACAAGTAGACCAGATTGTAACTCTTTTGTAACTGAGTGGTCTTCTTGGGAACAGAACTTTTGACTTAATAATTGAAATGAATGTATAATTTTCAATGATATTAAAAAGCTGTTTCTTAGTATATGGATGGGATAGTAAGGGTTTGTTCATACCAGTACTTGATAATTTTCAGCCAAAGTTTAAGAAACTTTACAATGTACTTAAGCCCATTACAGCTATCTACAAATCAACTGCCAGCGGTGATGAAATTTCATGCTAATAAGAATTCCCATACCCATGCCTAGAGTTACACGAACATCCAGGCTTTTTGACTTCTTCTTCTTCTATAGTACCCTCTAACCACCACTAAATGGGGTATCACTTGGGGGGGGGGGGAGGTGGTATGCGGGTTATGGCAGGGTGGCTTCTACCCTGGCCTTAAAAGCCTCTACTGTCGGTGCCCTCACCACTGGGCCCGGCAGCTGGTTCCACTTGCTTACCGTGCGGGGAAAAAAAGAAAACCTAAGCTAAAGCAGTCTTTATGTGCTGTAAATACTCACTCACTCACTCACTATCCTGGTTTAGATTATTCTGCTGCCGGTTTCCCTGTCCCA